AGGGGGCGAGGGATGGGGAAAGCCGCCAGAAGGAGGGGGAGGAAAAAGAGGAGGAGGAGGAGGCGGAAGCCGCCGCCGCCGCCGCCTACCTCGCCAGCCCCACGAGGTTGGGGTGGCTTTCCCCGGTTGAGCTGCAAACGCGGCTTCAGAGCCAGCGGGAGGCCCACGCCGGCCTCGAAGGGGAATTTCAGCGGAAGGAAGAGGCGATGCGGGCGAAGTGCGAGGGGCTGAAAACGTCCGTTCGGCAGCTTTGCGAGCAGATCGAGGAGGTGGACGCGGCCCAGCAAGCGGCCCAGCGCTCCCTCGACCAGTCGCTTAACGGCGCGGAGAGCGCGGCGGGGGGGGTTATTGCGTGTACGCACTGCGCCGCGGATGTGGTCTCCCGGTTCCTCTCCACAGGGTCTTGAGTGAAAGGGTGGCTACTATCTAGCCGTCCATAACACACGTTATTCAAGATTCCCTTTTCTTATTTTAATTTTTGTTAACAGACGTTTTATTTCTGCTTCAATAGGTTTATTTTTTTATTTATTGTTTATCATTTTTTGGACTGCTGAATTCTCCACTAGAGGGCGATCTGAAAGGCTAACGCGAACACAGTGAATTTTCACTATCCTGAATGATGACGGCGACGAAAAGGGCGACCTCGCATGTTCAGAGCGGAGACGCGCTGACGCACACGATACCCCCCCAAAGCCTTTTTCTTTTCTTTTTATTCTCGTATTTTGAATTTCACGCGAATCCCAACGCACGCAACCCAATAGCGATATCATTATATTATTAATTTTGTATTTTAAACACTTTCTTTTTTTTGACAACCCATTACGGTGTTTGCTATCGAGTAATTCTTTTTTTTCCCGAACCGCGATAAGCCAGCCACTCTCCGTCGGTACGCGTTTGTCCTGCACACCAGCCCAGAGCCCAAGGTCCCCCTGTCTCGCTGCTTCTATACCCTTCCGCAGCAACCCCGGTTTTCCCCTTCCCCCGTTCACCCTGACGCTCTATTCGCACCCCGTCCCCTCCTCGGCCGCGGTGCTCCCCGGCATGACCGACTTCCTCCGTGACGACGCCAACCCGTCGCCGAACCCGTGGCCGGCCTTCCCGTCCCTCCCCGCTTTCACCCCCCTCGACCTGTCCCTGTACCCGGTGCCGGCCCCGCTGCCGGACTGG